TGGGCGGTTGGGCTTGTGCCTTGAGCCCAATCACTATATATCTTTTTGGTGCAAATTTATTTGCAAAATCTGGACACCTCACTCTTCATGTGAAATGTAACAGCTCAGGTAGAATGTTAATGGTGTTAATACCTGGTTAGTGGTGTTAACTCCTTGTTAATGGGGTATTAACACACCTGAAACGTTTTGCCCATTATCTCTGCCTTAAGTGGCAGATGTGACTGTTGGTTTCCCTCAAGAGGTGGAAGTCCTATAAATAGGAATTAGAGCTGCAGAGAAAAAGTGAACTACATTGCATGCACTCTGAATACTCTCAAAAAGCCTCACGCACCATATCATACTGCTTTGTTCTCGACTTCATTCCAGTTCGTCGGAGCTCGAATTCTGGTGTGCTACAGTATTCGAGACGTAAGCCGTTGTATCTTTGGGGACGAGACGCCTGAACCCGTCAGCACTATACGGGGCGTTTTTGTCTTGCGGAAAAAGCAATCGCATCGGCTGTTTTTCGCTTTCTCTTTTGTAATTTTCATTTTTGTTTTAGTTCAAATTGTACGAACTGAACACTTTAGTCAGTTCATAGGTTCTCGCTGTAATCAAAACACTACTTTGTGTAACAAACAAAACAAACGGAAAAAACACAATTAAATCGACCAAAAACAATACAATAAGGAAAAAGAAAAAGAAAGAAACTTAAATTAACCTAGCCAGAGAACGAAATAGATATTGAAAAATTAAAAAATTAGAAGCATATGGAAGAACATTTGTGATAAAATAGTTTCAAGAACATTTGTCGGTCAGCTCATAATCTCACACAGTCACATGTGATTCAATCACGGGTTCTCATAATCTCACACAGTCACACGTGGTTCAATCACGGGTTCTTGAAATTGGTATCGATCAAGACACATAACCAGATTTCACAAAATTGTATAAACCAAACTGCACTAATATGAGTAGAAAAAAGGCATACCAGATCTAAAGCATGGTTATGGTCCTTGAAAAATCCAGTGACCACCCACTTTCCAGACTCCTCCAGCTTAAACAATATCCTTGCCTCGCAAGCTTCACGCATACTGTGCCTCGGCTTCCCTTCCGGGCCCATTTTACCTTTCGGGCTGGAAGAGATCCCCTGCTTTTTGCAAACAAGGCAGTGAGTGATATTTCCACCCTCGATCTGCGCTAATCGGGCCACGAAACCAACCCTTGTGGCGTAATCGACGTAGAATTTCCTAACATCATCTTTCGTTTCAAATTCCATTCCCACGTATGGTTCGGAAAAATCTCCTTCGCCTTTCGAAACATTGTCGTTTTCAAAATATGGAGACTCCAGTTCACATTTGTCGTGGCCAACCTCATTTCTTTCGACCACTGCACGACGAGAAGATAAAATTACCGTGTTGGCGAAAATATACACATCATGTTTTTATTTTTATACATCATGCAAGTTTTAATAATTAGGTGAGAGCATCAATATGACTTGGTGTATAAGAAATCATGTCTCAATTGGTTTGAATGTAAGCATATGAGAGTGAAATTGAAAAGGCAAAACGTACTTGTTGCGAGAAGAGCAAAGAACAGCCAATAGAAGGAATAGTGGATTTTATGATGTCTTCGAGTTCCAAGCGCAAACGTGATCAGTCTATAGGCCTTATAAGCTCTGCGTATTTCATTTTATTTTGCCTAGAGGATAGAGTTAATTTTGTGTGTCCCGTATGAGATTAAACTCCACATACTATGGCTGACCACACCTGTTTCCACAACTAGTTACTATTTATAGTACTTATTGGTAATAGAAAAGCAGCAAAAATCAAAGTTTGGTCCTCTAAGATGGTCATTATGCATTTTTGGTATACCAACTTTCTACTTATTAATAACAATATGTTATGTTGCAATTTGTATTATTTTTGAGACATTACTCATGAAAAACAGTAGTTATGTTGCAATATGTATCATTTTTTTAGGAAACTAATCCCAAAAAATAATGAACTATTTTTGTGAATATGTCTCAATAGTGATACAAACTGCATACTATTTTTAATGAGGGGAAAGTTGGTGTATAAAAAATGGACAATAATGAACTTAGATGACCAATATTGAATTTTTGGATAGAAATGACAAAATTTAAACTGTCATGACTAAGAGCATCGCACCAATTAATTTAGTCATTTAAATGCATTAGTAAAGTGAACGTGCGATTCACGAAATTTGTTATGTATTGTTGTTTTTTCTGTGGGATAATGAAGTCCGTGTTGTCCTGAGTTGCATAGTTGTGTGCAATATCATTTGCAATATTCTTGATATTTTCTTCTTGTCATTTAGTACTGCATTAAATCTAGTGGATATTTAAAGGTTTGTTTTTACTATATGTGGAAAAACTGAAAATAATTTGAAGTATAAAATTTGAATACTATTTGAAAATAAGCATATTTTTTGTTTCCTTTCATATAATACGGTTAGTTAAATTGCACATGATAAACAAGTAATTTTTATCCCTATAATTTGGCAAACTATTATTTTTCCCAAACAAAAAGAAAAAAATCTCGATAAGAAAGTCGTACTATTTTGTTGTTAATATATTGTATCTATCACTTTGGAATCTATGGAATTTGATGTTGAACTACTATTTTTTTATGGAAATTAGAAATATGTGTGTTAAGATTTTATTGTTTTTATATTTTAAAGTCTCTCTATAAATTGATCTTTGTATAGTAATGTGCGTCCTGGAATTAAATTAGTAGAAATTTGCGAGAAAAAATCACTATTTTTTAATATAATACTAAATTTCTGTAAGGCTATCAATTGTACATACAATATAATATAATAGCTTTATTTAAAATTAAGTAAGTAAATTCATTTCTTTATTTAAAATAAACATAAAATAGTAACTCTAGAGTTTAGACTAATTTCATGAAATGATTATATAGCATATTTTGCTATATTTTGAAACATCGCGGATACATTTTCTTTTCAGTTAAAATTTGATTTATTGATATGATGCACGAAAACATCATTCCAAAAAGGCTAAATTGTAAAATATAGCCTGTATGTTATACGCGATGGCAATAATAGCCATCATCTTTACGAATTGGCAATATTAGCCACCAACTTTCAAAATTTCGAGATTATTACCCAAATCAACTAAATTCGATAGATAAATTGCAAAATATAGTCAGTATCTTTTTATGCAGTGCCATTAATAGCCATCAAATTTAGTCGGACATGGATAATAATCTCAAAATTTTAAAAGTTGTTGACTACTAATGCCAATTCATAAAGGCGGTGGCTACTATTGCCACCGCGTACAAAATACTGATTATATTTTGCAATTAAACCTTCCAAAAATAATGTTGTATAGTCAATCTGTATTTCAAATACAAATATTCAGATTACAATAAATATACAAATATTCAGATTACAATAATTTCATATATATATATATATATATATATAGAGAGAGAGAGAGAGAGAGAGAGAGTGAGAGAGAGAGAGAGATGATGGATGGATCAAAATGTTGCATAGTTAGAGAGAGAGAGACAGATTACACTAACTATGCAACATTTTATCACTAATTATGCATCATTTTTACACTAACTTTGCAACACTTTTTACACTGATTATGCAACACTTTATCACTAAGTAGGCAACATCATTTTTGCATCATTGTTTCAATAACTATGCAATAATTTTACACTAACCGTGCAACACTTTATCACTAACTATGCATCATTGTTAGTTGTTTGTTGGTGCTAGGTTAATTCACTACAAGAATAATCATTTTTAGTGACGATAATTTTTGTCGTTATGTCGTCACAAAAAATACAGTCACAATAAGAGGTATTATTGTGACGACATTCGAACATATAGCGACAATATTAGGACATTATTAGCGACGATATTTTTTCTGACGACATAGCGACAAAAACTATAGTCACTAAAAATGATTATTCTTGTAGTGATTGTCTGTAGTTGCTAATTTAGTTGTCTGTAATTGTTAGGCTAGTTGTATGTAGTTGCAAGGTTAGTTCTATCTAGTTGCAAGGTTAGTTATGTCTAGTCCAAGGTTAGTTATATCTAGTTGCAATGTTAGTTTTCACTAGTTGCAAGATTAGTTGTCTGTAGTTGCGAAGTTAGTTGTTTGTAGTTGCTAAGTTAGTTGTCTTTAGTTGCAAAGTTAGTTGTTTGTAGTTGCAGGGTTAGTTGTATCTAGTTGCAATGTTAGTTGTCTGTAGTTGCAAGGTTAGTTCTATCTAGTTGCAAGGTTAGTTCTGTCTAGTTGCAATGTTAGTTTTCACTAGTTGCAAGGTTAGTTGTATGTAGTTGCAAAGTTAGTTGTCTGTAGTTGCGAGGTTAGTTGTATGTAGTTGCAAAGTTAGTTGTCTGTAGTTGCATAGTTAGTTGTTTGTAGTTGTTAGGTTAGTTGTTTGTAGTTGCAATGTTAGTTGTCTGAAGTTGCAAAGTTAGTTGTATCTACTTCCAAGGTTAATTATTTGCAGTTGCAAGTTTAGTTCAATGTAGTTGCAAGTTTAGTTATCTGCAGTTGCAATGTTAGTTGTCTGTAGTTGCAAGTTTAATTATTTATTTTTGCAAGGTTAATTGTTTTTTAGTTGCAAGGTTAATTGTTTGTAGTTGCAAGGTCAACAGTCAACGCCGGAAGTCAACGGTCAACGTCAGAGTCAACGGTCAATTTTTAAAATAATATTTAAATAATTAAAATAATAAAAATAAAAAATAAATAATAAAAGTAAAGAATTATTATTTAAATGAAGAGTTAAATCTTTGTCACACATTTTGTACCAATCTAGTGACTAGGAATGAGTCTTACGTCCTCAGTCCTCACATTAAATAAGCAGATGCAATGGAACCAATCCATATATATATATATATATATA